TCCGTTTCCCTTCCCTTCCCTTTCCAAGACCAATCTGAGTGTGTGTGGAGGCTCATTTTCTTTCCTTAGCTTAGTAGAAAGCTGGCTCAGGAGGTCTCAGTGGGAACGACAGGGCTGAGCTCCGGTGTCCCTCTCACCTGAAGCAGGACGCCCTGCTCTTACACGTCGCCTCAGTACAGTATGTGGGTCCCTCTCTGCTGACTCGCTTGCTGCGTGAATCCAGGCCAGTCGACCCAGGAGGACAACGAGAGCTTGGTGGCCTCATGCATTCTGCTCTTTCTGCACTTACCAGTCTTCTCCCTCTAAGTCCGACTTCGTATTTACTTTGCATGGTGCTAGAGATACATGTTGGTGCCCACACATCCCCTGCCCACCAGAACCGGGAGATACCGGAACTGGCGGGAGCGGGTGTTCTGGAAAAGCCCAGCGGTACCTGTCTCGTGTCCCCCCCCGACGAGAAGCTGCAGAACAACAGCAAAAGCCTCCCTCCGGGACGGAAGGAGCTTCCCTCTGCAGCCGGTGGTTCTGGCCGGAGACTGTGGGCCTTACGGGCAATGGGGAAGACTATGGGCTTTGATGGGGGGAGGTAAACAACCAGAAACAAAACGTGGGTTTTGAGAAAAGGTCCCCCGTTTCTCTTGCCACCTTAAGTTCTTTGAGAAGGTACCTTGAAAATATGTGCCTCAGCCCTGGCAGGACTGACGTTGTGGGCCACGTGATTCCCTGCTGGGGGGCCTGCCCTGTGCTTTGAAGGATGCTTAACAGCATTTTTAGCCTCTGATCACCAGGTGCCAGGAGCACGTACCCCTCGGGTGTGACAGCACAGCCGTCTCCATACATTGCCCGATGTCCCTGGGGGTCCGAAGCATCCTCGGTTGAGGATCACTGCTTTAGATGGACCCTAAACATCATCCATACTTTCCTGTGTCCACATTATGTTATTTTTTGGGGGTGAAAGCATCAAAACACTTGTCCTTTGAACATATAATAATGTCAAACACTTAATAATGTTTTTACTTATTGTCAACTATGGGGATATTACATTTCCACATATAGATGTTTGACATGTTTTTAGAGTGGCCGTTAAAGATGCTACAGACTCCTACAAAGCAGTAATGAACGAGACACAGCCATTTCCCCCACTTTCTTTGTCAGTGGCGTCACCCGGGAGAACACTGTTAGAAAGACTTACCAGGTAATGAAAAGGGTGGTTCTGCTGGGTACTGATTAAAGAGCAATGCTCTCACCGTAAGTCCCATGATTAACTCCACACCTTATCAATAAATAAGCATCAATAAAATATAGTGAACAATCTGAGGGATTTCCAAGGTAAAGTTAATAATAGAGTCCACAGTGGGTTCTTTGAAGAAATGAAATACAGAAGAGTTCCTGTAGTATCGTTCAAGATACGCTGTCAATGCCCTGGCCTTGGCTAGCTTTCCCTTCCTTGCTCCCAAACAGGATGTGCTAGGAGAAGGAAATGCAAAATGTTCCAACCTAAACAAAACCGAAGGAAGGAAAGGAAAGCAACTGGGAAAATAAGAGTCACGCCACAGGCTACAAAGCTTTTGGATTCCCTGGTCTTTTGAATAATCCCACTGCGGTGCTTCTCCCCTAGAAGAGTTTTGCAAGCGGATGGGAGGTGGGCACAGAATCACTCAGAGGGAATGGGATGCCTTTTGTATCCAAGAAACAAACAGTAGTTAGCTTCTCAGCATTTAATAGCCACAGCGATGAGAAGCTTCCCAGAGACAGCTGAGAAAAGATTGTAGGACTTGCCTGTGAAACCTCAATTATCAAGGCTGTTGGGCTTATAGGAAAAGAAACAAATTGCTTTTGAGCAGCGCTATTTTTCTTTCTTTCATCGCTCCTTTTCACTGTCTTTTATTTGAGCTCAGTTTTTTGGTCCCTTTGCTCTGTTAAACAGGTGCATGCACGTGTGTACACACAGGCACATGCACACACAGTGACATTCCTGCTGGACCTGCATCTCCTATCCTGAAAGCTGTGGAAATGTAAGGACTCAGCCTCTACACACGTTCTGTTGGGTGAGCTTTAGCTTATCAAATATCTCTTTGCCTCCACTTTGCTCACTTATGATCTCTGTTACAACAGAGAGCAGGAATTTGAAAATAGATTTCAAAATAAGTTTTTTAAAATTGGTTTTTAATAGGATTTATTTATTTTTCCATTATGAGAGTATTACATATGTATGTTAGAAAAATTTGAATTTAAACAAAGAGAGTGGAAAGGAGAAAGGGGGAAATGGAAAAGGGCAGGGGGAGGGAGAGAGAGAGAGCTCTCTATGTTCCTACCACCCAAAGGTGGCCATCAGTAGGCCCTGATCAGCATTATAGAGGACCCAGGACAATATTTTGCAGTTGAACACCTGTAAGCTCCATAAATAAGGAAGGCAGCTAGCCTGCATTTATCTTTGTTCCTTTTGTATTCTTAGCAGAGCCTAGCACACAGTAAAACCTCTATAAATATTTGCTCTATGTGATTATTTTTACTCCAATCTTATTTTACTCAAAATATGCTGGTGGATGAAGAGAACAGGCTAGTAAAAGAAGTGAAAGCATGTGGATCATAGAATGCTGCCTATAGGCATTTTGGCCAAAGCCCTCATTTTAGAGATGAGGGACCTCAAGCTCAAAACCCTTAGGAACTTCCCCAAGGTCTAACAGAGGCAGGGCCAGGACAACCCAGTCCTGTACCTTCATAATCAATCTTCTATAATCTAAAATCCTTTTGATTGAGTTTTCTAAGAAAAGTCCAGTAATATTTGTTTATTTTAAATCAGTCTTCTCAATTTAACCTCAGGTGTGTTTGAACATTTGTCTTTGAATTTCTCATAAAGAGAAACAATGATAAACATTGATAAACATTGGTTTTAGCCCTAACAGTACATTCTATTCATTCCTGAGACTTAAAAAATTATATGCCCAGGTCCCTACTCAGATTTACTCTGATCAGCATTATAGAGGACCCAGGACAATATTTTGCAGTTGAACACCTGTAAGCTCCATAAATAAGGAAGGCAGCTAGCCTGCATTTATCTTTGTTCCTTTTGTATTCTTAGCAGAGCCTAGCACACAGTAAAACTTCTATAAATATTTACTTGAGCATTGATATTTTAAATGCATTTTCACAGGTGATTCTGACATTCAGTGACATTGATCACAGGCGGTATTGTGACATTCAGTGATGTTGGGAACAATTGTTCTGGATAATATACCATTTTCTTCCTTGACAGTATTTCTAAAGTCCATTTACATTCCTATGGTTTTCTACCAGACCGGTAAATTATTAGTATTAGGTGTTCCAATTTACAAATGGGAACTTATAGTGACTTTTTTCGAAGTTAAGAAGTATTGACTTCCAGTATCTGTTTCATCATAATAGAAATTTCAACTATTACACAATGCTGCTCAGCAGAAGACCACAATTCCCAGCCTTCCTTGCAGTGAGGTTTGGCCATGTGCTTGGTTCTGGCCAATATAAATTTGGATCATGCCTTTAAAAGGAAAGAAACTTGTCCTCACCTTCCTTTTTCCACTTTCTGCTGGACAGCCACCATACCAACTCTGGCCCAGACAGAGAAATAAACTTTTACCTTGTTCAAGGCCTTGTGTTTTTGTCCTTAACAGCCCTTCTACAAAGCATTAAGGCTGGTAACATCTAAATTATAACACTGGATTCCCTGGATTCCATTTTTTAAAATTTTCCATGGCATAACACAGCCTTTTCTTAATTGGGATCAAGTCTCACGCATTTTCTCTAATTCTGAGTCTGACAATGATAGCTACACCCATTTACTCAATAGCTCGATGTTGAGCAATGCCAATCAGCCTACACCCTAAAATAGAAAAACCGAGGATAGACAATTTCATTCTGAGACAACTGCTTTAGCAAAGTGATAGAATCATGGGACACTTGCTCATGAAAATCCACGCTCTCTTTTCCTGGAACACACTGTGCATGACATCACCCCTGTCGCAGGAGTGAGCTATGGCTACTTGACTGATTTCTGATTCCCTCTGTGACATCACTGGGCCTTCAGATCTCCTACCTGCCACTCCACCTTCCCTACTCAGACCAGCTTCCCCTTGGAATCTGCCAGAGTCTGTGCTCTCTACCTCACGCTCCCTCTGAATTGAGAAACCATTTCTTTTCTCCTGCCTCATCTCAGCCATCACAGTATTCCAAATATGTCCAACATTCATCTCTCAGGTTGTAGTTAGAGTGAAACTGCTGAGTCAGAAAAGTAAGACTGTACCAACGTGGTTGCTCTCTGCTTCAAATGAACACTCTCGTTGTTCCTCTCTGCGCTATGGTTTTTACATGCTTCTTATTTCCAGCCTTTCTTGGGCTGCATGCCATATTCCTGCCCTTAGGAAGAGTATGCCTGAAAGAGCGTAGAAACATCTTCTATGACATTCCTCTTTCTCTGACAGCATAACACCAGCTGCAGCCTTTGTTTCTTTGTTCTCCAGTTGTCCTCAGAGTGGGAGCACTTGTGTCTTACTAACAGGGGCCCCCTCTTCTGTTGTCGGGCGCTGACTATAGCACGTGTCGGTGGAACTGGAACGAAAACACGGGACAAATCGGTGAGTGCCCATTAAGAGAATGCAAGTGCAAAACCCGCAGCATGGGCGTCACTTCTGAAGCCTTCCTTCTTTGCAAAATAAAAGAGTGACAGTAAGAAGGCACTCATGTGAATGCCCAGAGTACAGTTTTGGATGTCAAATGCTCAAAGAAGTGGTCTTCAAAACAATTGACTTGCATACAGTTGAATTTAGTCAGAGAGCGAGTTACTTTGACTTGCAGTTATGAGAAGAAACCTCAACTTGTTATGTGACCCCATCAATGAGCCACCGTTTGGGTCCCCAGTTTACCACCAGTCTGTTCGCTGCACGCTGCTTTATTCGCCTTTGCCTGGCCAGACCCCTGCATGCGTTGGGGTAACACAAGGTCCTCCAGCAAGTGGACCCAATACGTATAATGAGTTCAAACATAATAGAAGTTTATAAATTTCTCACTTTTGGTATTGTACATGTTATGGGTTTGGACAAATGTGTATGACATACCCATCATTATAATATCAAGGTATTTCATTGCCCTAACAATCCTCTTGCCCTGCCTATTCACCCCTTTGCCCCACCCCATCCCTGGAAACCACACTTTATTTTATTGTCACCATTGTTGCCTTTCCCAGAATGTCATATATTTGGGATCATATATACAGGGTTGGGCAAAAGTAGGTTTAAAGTTGTTCATATGGAAAATAATACAATAATTAATCAATAATAATGCAATAATAAACTGTTTTATGTGCTCACAACTGTATACATAATTTTGCCCCACCCTATGTGTAGCCTCTTCAGATTAGCTTCTTATACTTAGTAACATGCATTTAAAAGTCCTCCATGTCTTTTCATGGTTGAATAACTTTTCTTTTTGGTGCTGAATAATATTGCATTGTCTGGATATACACAGTTTATTTATCCACTCACCTACTGAAAGGATATATTGGTTGCTTCCACGTTTTGGCAGTAATGAAGCTGCTGCAAAATATCTGTGTGCAGGTTTTTGTGTGGACAGAAGTTTTCAACTGTTTTGAGTAAATACCAAGAAGTGCAAGTACTGTATCATATGGTAAGAGGATGTTTCATTTTGTAAGAAATCGCCAAACTGTCTTCCAAAGTGGCTGTACCATTTTGCATTTCCGCCAGCAACAAATGAGAGCTCCTGTTGCTCTGTATCCTTGTCAGCATTTGGTGTTGTCAGTGTTCCGAATCTTGGCCATTCTAATAGGTGTGTAGTGGTATTTCATTGTTTTAATTTGCACTTCCTTAAAGAGAAATGATTGGAACATTTTTTCATTTGCTTATTTGCTATCTGTATATCTTCTCTGATGAGGTGTCCATTAAGGTCTTTGGCTTGTTTTTTAATAGGGATGTTTGTTTTCTTACTGTTGAAATTTAAGAGTTCTTTGTATATTTTGGATAACAGTTCATTATTAGTTGTGTCTTTTGCAAATATTTTCTCTGTCTATAGCTTGTCTTTTTATTCTCCCCCTCTCTTGTTTTAACATTACCTAAGTTGGATATAAAAAAAGAATGAACTTAGCTGTAAAATGTATATAATCCTACCCTAAACATGACACCAAAGCTCTTTCTTTACATAATACACCTGGATACCATTGTGCTCTATGAGACCTTACATGAATTGACTGTGACAATGTCTCTGACTCCTACTGCACATTTTCTCCCTGTCACTCACTGTCCTCCAGCTACGGGTCTTCTGGTTGTCCTTCACGCAAACCTGGTTCTGGTTCATGCACTTTTAGGGCCTCNAACATTCTCCCTGTCACTCACTGTCCTCCAGCTACGGGTCTTCGGTTGTCCTTCACGCAAACCTGGTTCTGGTTCATGCACTTTTAGGGCCTCCACACTTCCTCTTCCCCCAGCGCTTTTCTTGATCTCCTTCTCTTGCTATGTCTTTCACAGAGTGAATATTTTTAATTTTAATGAAGTCCAGCTTATCAATCACTTCTTTCATGTTTTGGGACTTTGGTGGTGTATCTAAAAAGGCCTCTCCATACTCAAGTCGTTTGGTTTCCCCCCATGTTATCTTCTAAGAGTTTTATACTTAGGTCTCTGGTACATTTTGAATTAATTTCTGTGAAAGATGTAAGATCTGTGTCTAGATTCACTCTTCCGCATGTAGATGTCTAGTAGTCTAGCACCCTTTGTTGAAGAGGCTGTCTTTGCTCCACTGTATTGCCTTGGCTTCTTTGTCAGAGATCAGCTGACTGTATTTATGGGGGGCTGTTGCTGGGCTTTGTTCTCCTCACTCCATCTATTTGTCTATTCTTTTTGCCGATATCACACTGTCTTGATACTGTAGCTTTATAGTAAGTCTTGAGCTGAGTAGTGTCAGTGCTCCAACTTTGTTCTTTACCTTCAACATTGTGTTGGATCTTCTGGATCGTCTCCCTCTCCATATACACTTTAGAATCCGTTTGTCCATATCCGTAAAATAACTTGCTGGGATTTTGATTGGTGGTCAGTTTTTTTATCCATTGGTCTCACTCACTTAACTGTAAATTCTTTTAGCAAACCACCATAGCGTGGTGAGAAGACACAGAGGTCTTGGGTCACACAAGGCCTGGACTGACATCAGCTTTGCTACTTCTTAGGTGTGAGATCTTGATCAAGTTACTTTCATTGCTCCTCCTCATGCCCTTATCTTAAAAGCAGTGGTAACGCTGCAGAGTGTAATAAGGTTAGCTGAGGTAACATATTTGAAATTTCCCATCAGGACCTGTATATAATAGTTGCTCAATAAATGTTAATTTAACATTGCTGCCTTTTGCCTCTTCCATGGTAATATTCCTTTAGTTGGTTTGTAAAAACATGTAGCTAGGTTGAACTGTAAGTCTTCGCAGCATTGTAATAGTAGATGTTCAAGTTAAGACTGTGAACTCTAGCTTATACAGCAGAGACCAGGACAGAAGGAAACCCTTGGAATAGTGTCAGTATATTGGCTGTGCAAGCATTCTGTCAGCTCTGGAGGACTCATCGACTTCTTAACAAATTATGTTAACTCCAGCCAAGCTTGCAGCTGCCTGAGATGACTTCTGTGAATTGTACCCCACCAAGCACTGGCTGCCTTATCACAGATGAGCCAGAGGCAGCAGGCAGGGCTCAGCCCAGGGCTGCCCCCACCTGACCCACTTAAGCCTCCTCCACAGGCTACTGGACATTGGAGTGAGAAGAGAGAAGTTGGGGGAATTCTGATATTAAGAGAATGGCCTAAAGTGTGTGATAGCTGATTCCAGTCAGTTTAAATTTATTCTGATGCCTACAGCTTCTCAGACACTTTGGGAAGTAAGATTTTAGCCTTGGTCATTTGCCTGGTTGATATGGAGAAAAGGAGACCAAGAGATGTAGACTTTTTACTTGATTACTGTTCTTGCATCTTCAGTTCTCCCCCAGTGGACTATTATCACTGTCATGCCAAGGGGGGATCCAACCTGGGCTGAGGGGCTGTGTGGCATAGTGAGTAAGGTCAGGGCCTCAGAGCTATATATGCCTTAGAACAGTGCCAATGGTCATCATTACGTAAATGTTGGTTAAATATTCATATATAGAACTGAAAAACCATTTCCTCCATTCCTCGCCATGCTTCACAGCAGTATTTATTATTCTCAGTGAAAACAATGAGCCTCCAAACCCTTTGGCATTTACCATAGTTGGACTTTGATCCTTGGGTAGGTTAAGTGTGCTTATGTGTGTAAACTGAAGCCACATTTCAGGAAGGGACTGCGGGGATGGGAGCAGAAAGTTGACAGAGCATTTGGCACACAAGAAGCCTGTGCCTGGCTTGACTAGGAAGCTAGATTTCTGAGGTTTGGAGAGGAGTAGGTTTCAAGTACAGGATGGTGGCTGGTAATCAAACCTGTCCTGCCTATTGTGACAGTGTCTTCTTGCCTTGGGGAGAAAACAGATTGTGTTTGTGAACTGAGACACATCGCCCCCTGATGGCACATAACACAGAGGAAGGAAGGCCCTTTCTGTGTCACAGGGCATTGCGGACACAGCCTGGTTTCCAGCATGACCAGCAGAGGCGTGGATCAGAGCAGAGGTAGAGGAAGATCATGCTGAGCAGTGAGGTTCTCTGGGCTAAGTGAGCTGCTAGTGGCAGCCAGGATGAATTCATGTCATGGGTTATGTTCTCTGAAAGCAGATGCTGAAGTGGATATTTATTAGGAATCAGTACCTGTGGAGGGAAGGGGCAGGAAGCAAGATTGGGCAGAGAGAGAAGTTAAACTGTGATGCAGAACAGACAAAACCTTGGCCAGCCCCATCGGGAGCTCAGGGTAGCACATGGTCTGTCAGAGCTGCCTGAGTGGGCCGAAATGGTTAGGCCTTACATCCCTCCTCCATCAGCCACTGGGTATGGGTTGTCCCTGGAAGGGTGTGCCCTTGGGTGATGAGGTTCTTTGCAGGCAATGGTGGGGACAAGTCCTCCCCTACAGGGGGATCTGGGTGGTGCATTTCCGTGTCCACCAGAGTTCATATAGCCAGAGAAGAGGATTCTCAGATTCTGGAGGAGGGGCAGGAACTCTGCCAAGAACTGGTGCTCCTCTATTAGCAAGTAGAGCTTTGGAACTAATGAAATGTGTGCAGTTAATATTAATGTGACCTTGTTCATACCCATGACCTGGTGAGATCTGGGACTTTTCCAATTACATATGCTAATTGTGCATGCTTATAATAAAAACAATTGAAATAATGACAAAAATGAACTAAAATTCTGCCACCCCCTCTAGTCACCCCATCCCTTCTGGTCTTTCTCAGATTTGTCTATAACTTTTATAGAGTCCAGTTTTATCTTGTTTTTATGCTAATTCAAGGACTTAGATCTGAAAGTCTAAGTGGGCAAAGTGGTCTGGCTGGTAATGGAAGGGGTGTGAGGTGGACAGCGTGGGTGAGATGTGACTTACATCACTGCGCAGCCCAGGCATTAAGTAAAGAGTAGGCTGGAGGAAATAAATATTCTCATAGCCCTGACTTCGAGCTCCACCCCGCTTTTTAGAGAA